TGTATGGATTGTGATAAGAGTTGTATGGGCCCCTAATAAAATGATTAAAGAGAAAGAAAGAAAAATGCCAAACTTTATAAGCTCCTCTAAAAGGTGTTCTGTAACTATGGCATTTTCTACTTTTCTTTAGACCACTCACTTCCCCGACATATAAACGAAATAAAGAACTGAAGTGGTCCTTGCAACTGGTAGGGTGTTACCTTCTCTTCAAAGGTCTGTCCTGACTTTTACCTTTGAAACACGGGAAGCTCTCAAACTCTCCTTCCAGGCCAGTGGGGAAGAAAAGCATCCTTCCCCCTCGTTTCCGGTTCTCTCCTTCCAGTGTTTCTTTGGCTCCCATGTATGGTGTGTTTGGCAGTGCAGACCCTGAGGATCTTTAAAAGAAGAGTGGGCATGAGACCAGAATGTCTCCCCAGAACTGAGAAGCTTAGGAACAAGGGAGAGTCGAGGGGGAAGAGGCATATTAAAAGCAATAAACAAAACATTCACTTACCCATCCTATCAGTATTGCCACAAGGGACATAAGCAACAACCGTAGCATGAAGCTCACATGGAAAAGAGAAAGTCAAACCTGTTATTTCTCCAAAAACATGCTCAATGAGTGGTACAACTTTGGTCCAGTTTGTCTTCTGCAAAGTAGATTTTAAATTATTTTTTTTCCTATGACAACTTCCAGGGATCTTTCAAATCAATCATATCTTATCTGATTTTCTGATTATACAAAGTTACCCTTACCTCCACAAGATCTCTAAGAATAAAGAGAAATGCAGAACTCTATCTTTCAGAGAAACCATGCTTCAAAGAGTATAATTCCTTCAGACTTTTTTTTACTATAAATAGACATAATTATAAATTGTAAAATCGAGACACACTTTTTCTCCAAAGGATTTTTGCTCTTCCTTTCTTGCTTCATGAATTGTTCCCTCCCTTTCCGGGACCTCTGTTCACATGTTTATTACTAGTTCCTTCTTGAAGGATAAAGCATTCGTAATGCCTGTACACAAGGGACTAAAGCTCAAACAAAGCGCATCGCTGTCGAGTCAATTCTGACTCAAAGTGACCGTACAGGACAGAGTAGAGCTGCCACATAGAGTTTCCAAGGCTATAAATCTTTAATGGTAAGCAGGCTGCCACATTTGTCTCCTGTGGAGTAGCTGGTGGGTTCAAACCTCTTTGGTTAGCCACCCAGCACTTAACCACTGTGCTGCCAGGAATCCTTTACAGAAGGAAAAGGCGGCAGGGAGGGAAGAATAGGAACATCCCAATAGTCTTCTCCTCTATGTTTTGCCTTCTCACTAGCATTTTTGCATCTTATTTCCCTTTCCATTCAAGCCATCCTGAAGAAAAGTCTGTCTTTTCCCGCTGTCCTCATTTCCTTCCCTCCAATACATTCATTAATTTCCTGAACCCTAGCCTCCATTCTCACCACGTCTGTGTCAAGGTAATTGATGACTTCCAAAAGGCCAACTGGAATGAAAGCCTGTAGTCATATACTTTTTTTTATTGCAATGTTTCATTTTGTTTCCAATGAAAGTTTACATAGGAAACTAGATTTCCATTTAACAATTTATTTGAAAATTTTAAAGCAGTTTTATTGGCTTTTAATTCACATATCATACAATAGTTCAATCCCACCAAGAAGAGTTGTACAATCATTACCACCATCAGTCTTACATTTTCTTAATTTTTTTTTAAAATCATTTTATTAGGGGCTCATACAACTCTTATCACAAGCCATACACACATCAACTGTGTAAAGTGCATTTGTACATTCATTGCCCTAATCATTCTCAAAACATTTTCTCTCCACTTAAACCCCCAGCATTAGGTCCTCATTTCCCCCCTCCCTCATGAGCCCTTGATAGTTTATAAATTGTTATTTTGTCATATACTTTCTTAACCAGCTGTCAGCACTGGGCACTGTCTGGCACACTCCTGCTTCTCCTTACCCTCTCCTCCTACCCCTCTGACCACTCCCCCTTAGTCTCCTTCACTAGGGCTTCTTCTGCCACTGCTACTTTAAATGTAGCTACGCCTAGGACTTGGATCTTAGTCCTCATTTTCTCCGTCTCGACATGTTCTTCTTTAATGAGCTCATCCACTTCTGCAACCTTTATTATAGCCCCAAATCCAACAGCCTATGCTTGTCTATTTCCTTGGATAGAGACTGTATACCCCGGTGACTTACGAGATCTTTTCTCTTAGATGAACTTTCCAAAGAAACCACCAACACAGCAATATGAATGTTATTTTCCTTCTCAATTCTCCTCCTCACTGATGCTCCATTCCATTTGGGGCAACACCATTTAGCAGCTACAACAGTTGAAATACTAAGAGACATTTTAAAACATACTTGATAGATAAAAACCTGGCCTAGAAGAAGAGTAATATTTGCATTGATTTTTATGTCTATAGTCAATCGTCCATTGCATATGGAGTTAATTCATCCAATCCACTCTAAGAATGGGCTATTAGAGCATTTAGTCCTTGGGAGTCCATTGGTGACTGTCAAGAAAGCAAGAAAAGTAAATTGCAACCTGACTGCTGTCTGTTTAAAGTGAACCGAAAGCCAGCAACTGTAGACCATTCTTCTGAGTTGAACATGAAGAGATACGAGAGATTGGGTGAAGGTCGCCAGGGCAAAGCAGGTGTGAGGAATTCATCTTTAAAATCAAACCCGCTGCCATCTTTTAGGACAGGGGAAACGGGAATTATTTTGCAGGCAGGGAGTTAGAAGGTGATACAGAGGAAGAGATTGAAGATGGGGAGAATAAGAGAATAAAGATTGCACACTGACAACCATAGAAGAAGATCTTTAATACTTCTAGCTGTCACATATTTTGCAGGAAGCATGAGGTGTTTTCTTTAATAAATACACATGTATGTAGAGATGAGGGGGGCTTCAAAAATATGTGTAAAAATGGAATGAAAACATAATGAAATTTCTCCACAAACTCTTTAAAGTTCTCTTGTATCATCATTGTTTATTGCACTCTTGGATAAATAACCAAAATATTCTTGAAATATTTAGATGCTAACCTTACCCTTTAGATTTATTTTGACACATGGTTAGGCAAAAATTGCAACTGAAGCTAATTTGTAAAATTAGCTAAGCCCAGTGTCTGTCTCATTTCCCTGTCAAAAATTCTATTATATCTTCCATTTCCAATGAATATGAAAAATCTGTTTATTTCAACCCATAACCAACTAAGACATTTCTAGTCAAACTCTTACTTTTTAATAAATCTTGATTCTGAAACAGCCATAGGTGTCTTCATTTTATCAATTTTCTATCCCATTCATATGATCCACATTTTGTTGTTGTTCTTATTAAGCTACAGAATGTGCTTATATTAAAGATTCTATCTCTGTGGCCAAGGTATTCTGTTTTCCTATATAACTTATAAGTTCAATAGTTTATTTAATTAAAATGAATATGCCCACATTTCTGGGCTACTGTTGTGGGGGAGAGAATAAAGGAGAGCTAGCAGGAAGAAGCAGGTCAGGTGAAAGGGAGATGATGGAAGGATGCCTGCAGAGAGGAAAAGGTATTCGTTCTGTTTCAATGTCCTTAAGAAAACGACCGTGGAGAAACCCGGGTTAATCGTGTTTAAAAGCTGGCAGCAATAATAATATATGTTACTGGACATGGAAATTCAGAGAGGTGAAAAATCCTACTCCCCAAGCTGGTTCCTAGTTCAAATAGTTTTCCTTCGGGGGACTCAGAATGGTGTGGGAAAGACGAAGAGGCACTGCTTTTGTGGTTTGCGCTATTGGACCCCTAAATCCTGAGCTGAGAGCTTCTTACAGAGTGGGGTGTGGTCCGGAAAAAGGCCTAATTCCTTTGTCCCTCCCTCACTGCTTGCACCATAGCACCCTCATCCTTTTAGCTCCACAGCAGTAACGCCCCGTCCACAGAGAGCTGCCCCTCGGTGAACGATGCATCAAAGGTGCCCTCAGCAAGCAGGATGCTCTAGTGGGGACAGGCAGGGCCTAACTTCATTGCTGGAGGTGAAAGGCACCATTCCAGAGACTCGCCCAGGGCGAGGGGAGGAGCGCTGCAAGGGATGGCTCCTCCCACACAAGCCCTGCCCCCTCACGCCTGCACCAGGGAGAGGTAGCTTGCTTTCTCCTAGTCCAGCCCTTTGGCTAAAGTGAAAGGCCACCTCGCTGAAGCTATGAAGTTGCTTCTTTGTGCATGGCAAAAGTGCAGAGATAGAAGACAGGGATCCCCGACTGGGAGGAGGGAGGAGAGCTGAAGGTATCTGTCCGGGCTGGCTGATCTAGCAAAGTGGGAAGCCGAGTGCTTCAAAGAGGACTGTGCTCCCACTAGAAATAAGCAGTAAGTGAGTGGATGTCTTATGGCTTAGAAAAGGATTAACCCCTCCTGGGGTTGTGGGGTGGACTAGGAAATATTGTTTAATGTTAGGGTAAAACTGTAAGACTTCCGGCTCTCTGTAACGTTCTGATTTGGAAACTAGGGACTTGCGTGCAGAATCAGAGCTCTAAAAATGCCTCCTCCACTCTGGGAAGAAGCCAACTTTGACTTGCAGTGGGAGGGGACGCGACTTCCTCCCCTGACCAAGCATCTTCATCAGAAAATATACTAAGGCAGAGAGGGCGTTATTAGCATTATAAGAAGTGGACTTTGGTATCAGCAGTCATGGGAATCTTGTTTGTGTTCTGTGAACGCTGACATTGTTTTGTCTGTTAGCAGTGACTGTCAAGAAAGCCAGGATGGGAAGTTAAAAAGGGAGCGAATTAAAAGCTGTTCTGAAAAGGAAGCTGGGGAGTCCGTATGTAGGAACAAAGTAGGAAGAAATTATATAACTAATGATAAAAGTTGTGTTGTTGATGTATTTTTAAGCAACATTAAGCAAGAAGAGCAGTCAGGGAATATAGAAATACTTGAATAAAAATTCATTAGGAGAAGACAAATTTTAGTTTTCAATGTCTTTTTTGTGCTAACCCCAAAATTCACAGTGTTCACAAAGTCCAGACGTGATTCAGGGGAATTTCAGTTTGGGCTACACATCGTAAATAGCTGTTCCTAGGCAAGATCTGTGGTTCCTTGGTCAGCAAGTTCTGGCAATGAAGCCACTGTTACTGGTACAAAGAATTCTGGGATGTCTGACAGTGAAATGGATGGAAGGACTCACATTCCAACTCTACTTAATGTCCTTTTGACCAGAAATCGAGTCACGCAAATGAGCTACTTGGTACGTATACAGATCGATATAGGCATTTGTAAGTGTTTTGCATTAGAGGGTCTCTGGGCAATACCTTACTGCAACCAATGGACTAAAACGATACAAAAGTGAAGTGGGAGGAAGGAAGTTGGCTTGATGGAAACAACCTGGTTCATTTTGTTTTCCATTAACCCCGAAATGGAGCCTCAAATGAGGACAAGAATAATAATGGAGAGAAATACTGTGGCCAGCTGTTATGTTCTAAGTGGTTAAATCCATTAATATATAAATGAGCAGTCAGGCTTTATTTATGTATCTTAATACTTGAAGATTCAGACATCTTTTTTTACAGTAAAACACAAAATTAGGAAGTATGTGTATTGGTGGATAGGGAAGATGTATAAATCTGTTCTGAAAAGTTGTTGTGGGGGGGGGGCGGAAATTGTGTCCCACAGTGTAAAGATGTATGTCCTATTAGCTGAAGGATGCCCTTTGTCCCTCAGAAGCATTAAGATTCTGACAAGACAGGGCAAATTTATGCATAAAAATGTATATATATTTTTTTCTAATTCTATGGATGAGGTTAGGGCTTAAAACCAAGGATTAATTTGAAAAATAGCAACAGTCTGGGCTACAGATAACTATATAGGGATCTTTTTTCCCCCCATTTGTTAATGACCCTCGGCAGATGTGCTTTGGTTTCTGAAATTATGAAGAAGCAACATGATCTTTCTAGTATTCCCATCAATGATTGCCTTGGGAATGGAATATATAGTCAAGCATACAATCTTTCTCCTGTAGAGCAACAGTGAAATAGTTGTCATGATACACTAAACTGGCATTATCCTCTAAGTCTTCACTCCTTATCAGGAAAACAAAGTAACTGTACCTCCATTGCTAACTTCAGAATGTTCAATACAGATTTGCTGTGCAGGTGAGGAATGGGCAGAAAAGGACAAAATACCAAAAGTGCATTTCCATGGATTGTCTGGAATTTTCCAGCTTTCCAACATTTCCTACTTAGGAAGGTCATTTTATTTTTTAAAAATTATTTCTAAATTGCTTTTCCAATGTTAATTTTTCTCTGATTTATAAGCAAATGTGGGGACTATGAAGATGTGTCATGTGCATTGTGTATACTTCTCTTATTTTAAGAAATCTCTATGGTATGAAAATAAAAACACTGAATTGCTCCAGCCTTCAGCATGGTATCATTACTAAATCCAATTTCAATCTTTAAGGAAAATGTGCTGGGATTCCTCAAGGAATTTCAAATTGACCTCTAAGTGTTAAAAGAGTGCTGTCTGAAGCTACAATATTAAAATAAGAAGTGTAAGCCTCTTCAGAAAAAAATTAAAGGCATACGTTTGATGGGAGAGGCTGTCTAGAAATACTTAATAAATAACTATAAGCCAGAAATTTGGTTAGTTTTCACCGTATGGGCCTTATGCTGATGTACATGAAAGATTGCCGTGAAGCATGAAGCACTGTGACTTGTGACCAAGGATAATAAATACTTTTATCTTTAAAGAGTATTAAGTGGGGATTAAGATTATTAATGGAAAGAAACTAAATGATCATTTAAAATTATTCTTTCACAAGAAAAGTAAAGAAAAAGGATATGGAAAACTAAGCAGTGACGAAGACCTCGAAATAATTGTTGATCAAAAGGAGGTAAGTGATTCCTTACATACATCTTCTACCGTTCACTGTAGATGTTTGACTGCGTCGCCCTCTGAGTGTGTGGTCCTGCCCTGGGCTAGCTGTGTTAGCGTGCCTACACGACGCCTCCCCCATGACTCCTCCGATCCACTGATGGAACCGGGTGTGCACTGGATGGAAGAAGGGTGTAAAGTGAAGGGAGAACAGCATTAGAAAACTTTTTAAAAATTCAAGACACTACTTGTCCCATTAGTCAAAGCAACAATGATCATTTGGTTTGGAAATTTTAAATAGTTAAACAAGAGCAAGAAGGCGCATTGTTTTAACTAAGAGAAATACTATCGTTAGCGTAGCTTGCAAATCAATGACTATCCTGTGGGCGGGGGAAAGGATGGAAGACTTGGGGAAACTGAGACACTTAAAATGTGTCTCTATGTATTGCCCAGGTTAGTTTCTCAGATGGTCTGAGGAAACTTTAGAGATAATGTTAAAAAACGAAGAGAAGAGTCTCTTTTTTAGTCTTTGGTACAGCCTGTAATTGGAGAAAGATCTAACCTGGATTTTATATTAGACCCACAAGGTGAAATGAAAATGGTTTAATGGACCATACAATGGCAGACCCAGTAACTGACAGGAGCTATCCAGCCAAGGCCACTGAATTGGCATTAGGCTAAGGAGACCAGACGTCCCGCTTTTGGCGTGACAGTCCCAATTTTTAACAAATTTTCCCACGTCCCATGGCATTTTTAAAAAGTCCCGATTTGTGGAAAGAATGCACGACAAACTAGGGTATATGGTTTTCTGCTGCCATGTGGCTATTTCACCAGGATATGAGTTTTATCAATGGTGTCCCGCTTTTGTCCCAATTTACCAATGTTAAAATCTGGTCCCCTTACATTAGGCCGTGATGTCTTCATTCATTGTCAAGGAGACAGATAACTGCATATCCATCTGATATGGAAGTAAGCCCTCCATCTGAGGCTGATAGAGACTCAGGTGAAGACAGAGAAATAGCTCTAAGAGACCTGCACCGATGAAGAGGTTAGAATAAAGCATCTGGCAGATTACCGAAAGCACCTGAATTGGGACAATTTCCTGATCAGGCAGTTTGTTTGGCGTCGTGGTGCTTGTACTAAAGGACCACGGGGTGTTATTTCCGCAAGAAAGAAAACAACCATCAGCAACTAGCAACCACAGAGCTGACTTTGAAACTTCCTTGCTAGACATGGAGTAGTCGAGGAAACAGAAGTGGTGAAAAATATCCCTAGATTTAAGAGATCATCAAAATAAATAGGGGCGTGTGTGTGTGTGTGTGTGTGTGTGTGTGTATGCGTGAGACCAAATAAATGCATTTCCACAAGAGGGGCAAAATATATTGATATTACATGGTTCACTCTAACTCTCCTCTGAGGTTCTAATTTTGCCTTATCACTTGCCTTATCATCTCTCGCTGCTCCTGAGTGACATGGTAGTAGGGATGTGGATTTAGCCCAGTATTTCAGCTCCTTGGTGCCAGATTGTCTGTTTAATTAATAAGGTAAGTGAAGCTGGAGCTCAAGTGCTCTGCTGGCCTATTAACAATCATTTTAATTATGTTAGATTAATTACTTAGGGTGAGCAAACTATGTCTTCCACTGGTTCTACTATAGGTAGACTGGGATTCTGACTGAAGGACTGGACCCACCTGGTGAATGAACAGCAAAATTCAATGGAATATAATAGGAGAATACACATATCAATCATTTTCTCTGTGAAATGAAATTAAAATTTGCTTTGGGTAATTGTTTTATGCATCTTCACATCAAAGGTTAATTCTTACTCAGTCTTGTACTGGTATAGCAACTAGCTGCCCTAAAACTATCTTTTTCTTTTTGCCAAAACCTTTTCATTTTAGCTCAGTTTTGAGGCTCAAAAAGCACAATACATTTACATATTAAGCTCTTTGGAGTAGAAAGTCCCAGGTGAGTCGTCAGTTTTTGTTTTTGTTTTCCTCCAGGCCCCTTCACAAGATGCATACCGGTGAGCCTAAGCACAGCTCTTTGGCTGTTAAAGAATCTTAAAATAAGGTTTTCCTGCTGCTTCAGAAAATAGCGTTTTCCTTCCCGGGATCTAAATGGGGGTGGAATCGATGTTTCCAGTCATTGTTTGCCTCTGTCACAGTCAGGTTTCTTCTGGTGCCTTTGCACCAGTTGGCACCAGTTGGCAGTGCCCCAGCTTTGCTGAGTCATTCATGTCAAAACATGTTTCAGAGAAGAGTAATTATGAATATGAGTTGGCTTTGGGGTTTGCTGTTGGCAGGAAGAGGAAACCTTCCTTTCTGGGAGGTTTGTTTGGTGTTGATGTTATGAGCAAATCTTAGGTTGCAACAATGACAATGTTGATACCTCAGAGTAAAATATGTGGGGAAACATTCTAGTTAGTCTTTGTAATGTTACAAAAATCACTCCTAAATTTAAGAGATCAACAAAATAAATGAGTACATGTTTGAGAGGATACGTGTGTGGAAAGCAATTTCTTTTCAGATCTGGAAGAGTCATGATATAAGTTTATATGTATAGAGAGCTTAAAATTCTGTAGATAGCACTATAGGCTGTCTTGGTAGGAATCTCTCTGTTCTACTGACTCTTCCTGTACCTTTTCAGACACGTGGTAGCAATTGGGTAGTCAGTCCTCATAGCATTACAAATACCTTCTCAGTAAGCGAGAGAAAATCTAAAAAGAAAAACTATAAAGTAATTGGAGTGCTGCGATGGACAGAAGTCTACTAATCTAATGAAAGAGGTCATTCCAAAGCCATCAGTGTACAAATGCTGTGCAAGCTACACACCTCTTTTTGAGCCAGGTGATTTGCAAGTGTTATCGTTCCACGGAAAGCCTGCAATCCTGCGTATATAAGTGTGCAATCAGAAGAAAAGCAGCACAGAATATGTGCTGCCCACATTCGAGATGGTAAAAGGTTATTTTTGTGTTATTTCAAAAGTCTTGGGCGGGGGGGTAAAGTAATCTTGGGAATGTGTAAGGTTGTATTCTTGAAAGCCAGTATTGTGCTTCTCTCTGTGTGAAATTTTATTGGGAAATTTTATTTGAGATATATGCATATAAAAGTCTTCTGCGGATCCTTAATTGAGTGTTAATGTCTTAAAGTAATACCCATTACCATCTAGTTGAATTACGACTCATAATCATTCTATCGAACAGAATAGAACTGCCCCATAAAGTCTCCGAGGCTGCAAATTCTTACAGGAAGCCGGTGGGTTTCAACCACCAACCTTGCAGTCATCAACCAACCACTTTCCACTGCCACCAGGGCTCTTTTTCCGAAATAAATGTTGCTGCTGGAGTTGTTAGGAGCTGTTGAGTTAGTACCAACTCATAGCGACCTTTATACAGCAAAGGGAACCACTACCCATCTGGCCCAGCCTCACCATTGTTCTTCTGTTTGAGCCCGTTGTTGCAGCCACTGCAGCCATCCATTTTGCCAAGGATCTTCCTCTTTCTTTATTTTTGCTGACCCTCAACTTGGACAGGTCTCTCCCTACAGGGGCAGATCTGCTCTGTCCTTTGGGGAGCAGTGAGTCAGAATTGCTTCGATGGCAGCAGTGGGCCTAGAGCAGTGGTTCTCAACCTTCCTAATGCCATGACTCTTTAATACAGTTCCTCATGTTGTGGTGAGCACCCCCTCAAACCGTACAATCATTTTTGTTGCTACCTCATAACTGTAATTTTGCTACAGTTGTGAAGTGGGCAACCCCAGTAAAAGGGTTGTTCGCCCCACCCCCCTAAAGGGGTCACGACCCATAGGTTGAGAACCACTGGCCTAAAGTAATAAATGTCATATAACTTGAGAGAACTTCAAAAGGTTAGTTGATCGTGGAATTTTTTTCACAGTTTTTGAAGTCCCCTCGTACACACACACACACACACACACACACCTAAATTTAAATATATTTCCAACTTTAAGCATAGGAAGTTAATTAAAGGGAACATATTGGATTAAAATCTTAATGTCCCTAACTTTCAGGTATTTTAAAATCCATATTTGACCTTCCAGAGTGGCATGTTAGAAGTGAAATTTAAAATATACATTTTGAATTATGTTTATTATTAGGAACTGGGAAGTCTTGTTTAGGAAGCGTTTTCATGTGCACAGAAATTTCCTTTTGAAGCTACTGATTTTTCCTGAGTGGAATTTGGCCTTTGGGAAGTAGCCTTTGAATAAGGGATTGAAAACATTAGCCACATTGAATAAACAAGTTCTTCTTTATTTTTAAGTAAAGTTAACTTAATTCAACAGTTGTAATATACTGGACCTAGATAATGTTTTTATTCTAGTATGTTTCCAAATTACAAGTAGATTTAAAGCAAGTCATAAAGGCTGGCACAAAATAATATTTTTCGTTTTATTAATAAGGACACACTTTTCATTCAAACATTGCAAAACAGGGATATACAATATGTCATGGGGCTTCGTGGTTATTGGCCCCAAAGCATAATGAAAACTCTGAGTGGCTTCTACATTTCCTTCAGTGCTCTGAGGTAGGAAGATGGCAGAGCACACAGGTGTTCTTCACATTTTTGCTGCCTCAAAATTCCCAGTAGGGCACATTGTAACATAGTTTGTTGGCTCTTCAGCAGTACCTAATAATGTACCTTTTAAGGCCTCCATTGCTGCTTTTTAAAGCATTTTGAGCAAATACAAGCTGGACTGTTAACCACAAGGTCAGCAGTTCCAGGCCACCAGCTGCTCTGCTGGAGAAAGAGAGCACTTCCTATACCCATAAAGGGACGCACTCTCAGACACCCACAGGGCCAGTTCTTCCCAGTCCTATAGTACAGGGTGGCTAGGAGCCAGCATCAACGCAATGGCAATGAGCTTGGTTTGGGGAATGAGGAAATAATGTGTGAGTGAGAGGGAAAGAGAGAGGGGGTGGGGAGAGAAGCCTGGTAGCATTGTTGAACTGTGCATTTCTTGACTACCTAAAACTTCGAGTACCTAAACATCCATTGTCATA